GTCATTGAATTTTTAATTGAAAAAAAAAAAGGATCAATGGCTATAAACCGTACTAAATAATGTTTCACCGTAAAGACTGACGCAAGTGTGAAGTAGTCATTCAAAAATAACTGAGGCTTATTGTACCAAATGTTTGGTTTAGCTACTATGTATATAATTCTAATTTTGAGTGATAGTAAGCGGATTAAAATACTCTAACTACGATAAATACAAGAAAAAAGCAGATTTTTTACAAAGAATATATTTTTTTTATCAGTTAATTCATATTGTTTATTAATCCATTTTTTACTACGCCGTTTTCAAAAAAAATCCTTTTCTTGATCTGTGTTTTATTATGCGCTTATAATAATGCACAAGCTTGTAAACCCACTTTGGTGAGATTGCTTTATATTGATTTTACCGCTTAAAATTATATTTTATTATGATTTGTGTGCGCTTTGGGTATACTACTTTAAGAAATCAAAATACGAAATAATATCCGGGAAGTACACAAGGTTCTAATAAAAAAATTATTTCTAAAAATAAAATCTCTTCAACTTTATCTTTAGCCAAAAAATTTGATCATTTATATAATTGATTTCTGAGGAACTGAACTAAAATAAAAAAATCTCTTGTTACAGAACTCAACATAATGATCTACATCCGATACTGATCGAATCATGTTCCTAATGATGTGTTCGTGTGTGTCAGTGACAACGTAAAATAAACAGGTTAAATGATGTTGTACGTACTATATATCATTTAAGCTGTATACGGTGTTAGTGTATACATGGAAATAATTTGCAAATTTGTATATTTGTTCATAGTAATAATCAAACATAGGTTAGTTATAATTACTCCAGATACACAGATAAAGTTGTCATACAATAGTGGTCAGAAAATAATAGCCTAATGCGTGTAGAAGTATTAGTGTTACAACGCAATAGATTGTTATTACAACAACGAGCTTTATTTTTATTTAAAACCATTAATGCTAAAGGCCTATTTCAATGGGGTAAGTAACTATTTCTTCGATGAAACTCAAAATATATTGACCCACATCTTATACATTATGCATAGCTATCTATTCAATAAATGTAGAGCTAATGGCCAATCAGTACCAGCTCGCATATATAGGATATCTTTCTTTTATGATTTACGCAACAATAACTTGCGCATAAAGACTTTAAAGGTACCAACCAACAATTTGCCGACAATTCTTTTTAAACTTTTAATGCCTTTGTAATATATATCATTATAAAAAGTTTTACTTCAAATAAATTACAAATCGAGATTAAAGTAAAAACAGCAATTTACAATAAACTAAATCAATATATGAATGATTATAGTCTAAATAAAATTTAAATTAAAATCATTAAAAACAATTAAACAATATTCTTTACTATTTCTTTTTTAAAATATTATATTTTAAAATTAGTGTCTGGTGCAACTATAAAGGAATTCGTTCTTTAACGTTGAAAAAAGTGTAAACTTTTATATAAGCCAGAGAAACTTACATTAAATAAGAGTAAAATATTTTATTCTACTTTACAAAAGTTTAAATTGTTACAAGAAAAAACTAATCATAAATTTAATACAAAATATATCTTAACTTTGACTAATTGAAGTAATATTTCATGATAATTATAAAAAAATTAAATTAAAACAAGTTGAAAAAGTTGTTAAAAACCATGTCAGGTGCTTTTAATTATTTGATTAGATGGTGCTTGAGATTTATGCTGTTACAATCACTTATAACAACTATTTTTAGTCACGCTAATAAAGTAACTTAATGTTAAATTTATTAAGAAAAGTATTCCATAAAAAATTACTTGGCTCAAATCACTAAGAAACATGTTGCGTATATAAAAGGATTAAAAATTAAAAATAGTAAAAATAAACATTATTTCCTTGTGAGTATAACAAGTTTTAAAATAGGGATTTATAAACATTGTTTTAACTTATAAAAAACTATCATCTTAACTTTTAAATTGAAAGTTAAACAAGTATAGATAATATAAGTACTAAATTGTAATATATTTTGATGTTATAATTTCAATGTCATAATAATTTTCAAATAAATTGTCAAATAAAATTAATAAAACTTAAATATTTGAATGTATTGCTGATTCATTTGTTAAAAAAAACTTTTAGTTTTATTTAAAAATAATTTTTTTCATACAAATTTTGAGTTAACATTATTTATTGAAGTAAGTAATAAATTTCCTTTAATTGTTCTATAAGTAAAAATTTTAGTTAATAAATACAGTAATACATATTATAATATTAAAATCATCATAATATACTAGTATTCTTTTAAATGAAATGTCGTTAAAAAAATTTATTTGACACCCTTATAAGGTATAAGAAATAAACTGAAAAAGTATTTAATAATTGATAACTAAAAAAATATATAAAAAATGTTTCCGAAATTATTTTTATTTTGTAAATAATTGAGTGGTTATGATAAATGGATCACCGCCATATATGTCAATATCTAAGGGAAAGTTGGTGAAAATTTTGATTATCTTCTTTGTACTTCTAGTTCGCTACAATTTAACGTGTAATAGCTAAACTTGTATACACCGGGGACATCTTACTTATTTTCTTTTAGTGATTGGTATTGGGGAAATTTTTATTTTTCTATTTAATGCTTTCAATAAATTTCCCATAGAGACAGCAAAAAAAATTTGCAAAAAACTGTCTGTGCTACTAGGGTTAAGGTCAGAAACGTATTTTCAGTTCCAATGAATGTTTTGTAATGAAATTATCTATAATGAGTTTATTTAAAAATTAAAAAATTGAGATTGAATATCGTTAACTAATTTATGAAAGTCAACAGCTCACAATGTTTGTATTGAATTGCTTGATTTTATTTAAAAAGAAACTGCAATAAACGTCAAATATGTATTTTGGACTTTGAAAAACTTATAACTTGCTATTTAATGAAAAATATGTGGCAAATAATAAAGAGCACCACTTTTTAACAAATTAATGCCACCCTTATGTTTGTGTGGAATACGCTACATTTCTTCTTGTCTTTTATGTATTTTTTTCTCTAACCTCCTTACAAAATTTACCATACGCCTTAGGTCTTTTAATTGATTTACTGTTAAATGAAATTATTTGGTGTACAAACACTATTACAATGACGAGGACTTTCAAGATGATGTTACCTTTTTACTAAATGAGGGAGCGGGAGAGAATTATAATGTGATAATAACAAAACTCAGTTTTAAGTTTAAAAAAGGGTTGAAAATGGATAGTCACATTGTGGAAGTGTATAATACACCTTTAGTATTTATTCCAAAATCTTCATTTTAATAAAATAACTTTTTAGTATCATAAAGCGTTAAAATTATTTCTTTTTGATCTTCCCTCAAAGTATAACCATATAAAATTGTCAAGTTATGAAAATTTCTTTTAGATTTTATACAAATATACTTTGTAAATTTTTTTTTGAAAAAATCTGTTTTTCTCAGATAAAACTAGATTTTTTTGAAGAAAAAAAAAACCAAACTCCATTACTCAATATAAAGGCGTATTTACAGGGGATCAATGGGGTCCGAACCCCATGAGCTAAAAGTGATAGTAATAGAAATATTGGAGGAGTGAATTTTCCACTACTCTGTATTATTAAAGCTTTGAAAAAAATAAGTTTTTTTAACAACTAATTTCAGATTGTTGTTAAAATTATGTTTAAGTTAACTATTATTAAAGAATAACATTGTTATTTATTTATTAATGTCTACATACACAATATATTTTTAAACACTAAAAGTTACACAGAAATGACTATTATAATTTCTGTTAAAATTATTTATGCAATATAAATAAAAACAAGTGGTTTTAACACAATTTTAAGTTTTTTTTCATATTTTTACTGTTAATAATAATTATATAAGTTCATGAACACTTATTAATATAAACAAAACTATATTTTAGATTCTCATAAAATTTCCCCTTTAACATTGTCAACTTTAAACTTCTAAATAGAGACAAAAAAAGTTATGGTAAAAAAATCAAACTTTCTTCTATAAAATTTTCATAAATATCAGTGAGAAAAAATAATTTAAAAAGTATATTTTTGTCTGATGAAAATTCATTGTAGACTAATGTAACATAATAATTATTATATCTATATAATAAAGGGCTTTGTATGTGATATAAACTTGATTTTTTAATATTAAGTTAAGCTGTTCTCAATTTCTCTTTAACTTTTATTAGGAATGTCAATCAATAAGAAATTTATTGAGTATTTAACACTTATCAACAATGCGATAATTTATATCAACCTTACTGCGCAATTCAATGATTGTTAGAGCTAAAATAGTTAAAACAGTTATTTAAGGTTTTCAAATGAACTTTTGAGTTATAACTGCACTATCAATTTACAAAAATTTTATTCAATGAAGTATTTTAAATGAGAATCTAGAGTTTCAGCATCCAATTATTTTAAAATAGCTTGTTATTTTTTTTTTTTAATGTTCAATTGCTAAAGAACAAATATTTTATTCGAAAGCATAGGGATAGTAAAATTTAAATTTGAATATTCAACTTATCATAGTGAGAAAATTGTTGTTATTTTAAAAATTGTACTGCAGAAGTAAAAAAAAAACAAAAATTTAATAATCCAATGTGAAGGACGTGCAGCGTTATAATGCACTAATGAATTCTGTAAGGCACCTGTAATTTTAAACGTCAACAATTATATGACGTTTTAAAATTGCACGTGTATATCATGACGTAATATTGTGATATTATGATAAGAAGGCACGTGCAAAATGATTCTTATTAAAAGCGTATTTATAGCTTATGAAAAATAAGCATTCCTCTATTAAAACCTGCAATGTTTACAGTACTACTACAATAAACTGGCAACATTTGTTGGGAAACCGGACTCGGTAATATATATACATATATATATATATATATATATAAATATCATAGTGTATTTTTGGTGACGTACTTATTTTTAAAATTTGCAATTTTTATTTAACTGACGAATTTTCTTAACTTACTAAAAGTATTGCTGAATCAACAAACAAGCCCCACACGATGACCGAGTACCGGAAGTCCGGTACGTTACGATGATTGACGACGGCATTTCGCGGCGCACTGACATTATGCCTGGCAAAAGGGCGGTGGACTACTAAAACCCGTAGACGCGTACACGGGCCGGATAATAATGTGTTTTGCCGCGACCCCTCGGGGCGCAAGCGTTTCGGACGCCTTCTATATCTGATCGGTGGTCCCTGCGTTTGTATCTTGCACATAGCTGTCGGTATTATGACGGCAACTTTAGTACCATAACAATCCGGGGCAAAACGATTGTCAGCCTTTTAAAAAATGTATATTTCAATCATTACGGTGTAACGATTGTCTAACAATCATCACAATGACGTCGTTATTATTTTTTTTTACTTGGGTACAATCGAAACAAAAATGTTGTTGCTTGTAGAGTGGAATCTTTTCCGTGTCATGTTTTAATTCCTTTAGTTTTTATTATTCGTCGATCAAAATCAAGAGAATTTCTAAGATGAGTATAATAATGACTTTATCGGTGGCAATATAGTAAATTACTAAATGATCGAATATGATAATCAAGTTTTGTCGTAGTGTTGTACACGACGTTGCAACAGTTACTTTTATCCCGTTGAATTATTAAATAAACGACAAATAAAATGCATGTCTTCGTGGAATCTAAAACATAAAAAAATAAACCTGTCTTTTTAGTATGGGATAATGTTTTGTAAACTGCAAATAGGCTAGACAATACGAATAAAAAAGATTGTAACTTTTTCTTACGGTCTATAATAAATGTCATAAAAACATATAATAGTAGTAATGTCGTGATTTACTGGGGCCATTGATTTCTGGTAATTTTCACTGAAAGGGTAATTGTCGTTTTTGACGTCAGGTTATACATATTGATAAACATACAAACATCTCAAGATTATTTTCGAGGAAGAAGATAGAAAAGTTGAATAAACATTTTTGTAAGCTCATTTGAACGGCTTACACTGCAATAACAAACTAGCTCCACTTTTAAAAAATGTTCAGCAGAAGCAAGAAAAACTTTCATTTGCATTCAAATGTAGAAAAAAATTTACCGTCTTTTCGTTTTTTGGTGAAAATTTCGTTTAATACGTTTTATATATAATATTATGCATAATTTTTTCCATCTTTACAAAATTATTAACTGGACCTCTACATAAAGTACTTTCTGTCGTTTGTATTCTATAAAAAAGTAAAATTTCAAAAAATTGAACGTATCCTGTAGTTGCAGCAAGCTTTTCAATTCATCTAGTTTAGATAAATTATATTTTATTTCAGTTTGATCTATGTTTTCTATGAATATATTTTTCTAATGATTGCCAATTTTTTTTTAACTAAGAAGAAAAAACATTAGAATTTAGGAAATTAACAAAATATAGAAAGTGGTACACTTTTATCGATCAAACATATTTTTAAAGATAGCAGAAAATACGAAAAGACCAGAAAATTGTTCAAAATATACCACCACCTAACTAAAAGCCTCGGACCACACCCAGAAAATGAAATTAATCTTATTAAATTTTTAAAATATACAGATATGTTAAAACAATTGTAACAATAGTTTTAATTTTACAATAGCAAATTATTTATTGTAACGTTTATAAACATGTACTTATGTAGTTGCATTAATGTAAAAAAAAATTATTTGCCAATGGCCATTGATGTCGAAGTATGTAACAATAATAACAAAGAAGATGAATTTCAACACATAAATAGATTTTAAAAAAACTAAAATATTACTATATAAATATATTTAAAGAGATACGCTTTCTTTTTTCTTATCCCTATAATGATCTGTCAGCATAATTGATGAGGTAAGCAAAGATAAAAGTTACCCTAGTATATTGCCGATATCAATTTAATGAAGTCTTAAGCTCTAATGTAATTTAGTGGATATTTATACTAGGAACATCAATTTTTTAGGTATTATGACATGAAATTGGCAAATTGAAAAGTATTTTTTAGAGTATGAAGTTTATACTTAATGGAATATAATAAAATATCAATTTTACTATAATAAAATTGCAAGTATGATATAAGTAATATTATTAGAAGTATTTTTTCGTATGAAATAATTTTTTCAACCTTAGAAATGATACTAAATACCATCAAATAAAAATCGTTCTTTATTAAAAAAAATAATACTAATGCATTTCGTTTGACAAAAAAATGTATTAAAAAACGTAAAATAATATAAAATTCTACATTATAGAATTGAAAAAAAACACAATCACAAAAATGAACGATTTAAATTGTTACATCGTTTATTTAGATAATTAAAAATATCTGGTTACTTGTATTATAGCATAATTTTTACAATAATTAACAAGGTAGGAATTTGACCACAAAAATGATTTTAATATATTACCTATCGTTAAATACAAACAGCTCAAATAACTATTTGTGAACATATTTAACTCTATCTTCATTATTTAGCTAAACGCATAATCAATATCATCAAATGTTAACTGACTACATAACATATTTTACTGAGCTTATCATGACAGTGGTAGTCTTTATAGAGATATTGATTTTTTATACTCGTAGTGTAAATTACAGGGTATACATTAAGTTTACATGATTACAAAATATTAAGTACTTGATAGAATGTAATATACGCATAACGCGAAACAAATTTGTAATTGCCGTAATACAAATCAAACATTAATTAATGATTACTTTTGATTTAAAATAAATATTTGTTAAGTTATACGAACTAAAAAAAGTTAAAAGTTAAATATAACTTCGATCAGAACATTTTATTTGCAACAAAAGTTTAACATTAATAACTGTAATAAAAAATGATGTTAATCATGATTTCCTCTAACGATGTTTAAACATTTTGAATATATACACCCATTAATTATAAAACAATGAATTAAAATAATACCCAATGAACTTTAAATAATTATGAAACGAATTGAACATAAAAGTACTTAAAGCAGATGGAAGGTTAAATAATTTTAGGAACATTTATTTTAATAGTAATAAATTGACTTGAAAATAATTGTATTTTATCTACAAAACATCGAGACAGCTATTGAATTTCGACTTTTTAAACTTACAAAATTTTAATTAGCAAAAATTGAAATAATTATGCTAAATGAAATTTCAAACAAGTATGATTGTGTTTAAAAATTTAATACATTTGTATGCAAGTTAAAAGGTATTGGTAATTTATACTTTGCGTTTATTTGACTTTTTTTTAAATTTAGAGAATAAGAATAAAGTAATACTTAAGAATAATTACTTTTTTAAATATATATTGCTGTCAGTACTAACTTGGTCGTTAAAAAGTCGGAATTGCAAAAAGTGTTAATTTATTACTAGATGTTACTCCTATATCGAGTACCCCGAATATGATTTAAAAATAATCTTAAAAATGTCGCGGTTTTTCAAATAGCTTTATTTTATTTTATAAAAGTAATAACAAAATAAATTTTAAAAAAATTATTAAAAATATTTCATGAGCTTGAAAATTATAATCATTACATTAGCGGCAACATGAAAGTTAATCTTAAAAGGCGACTATATTCCTTAAATACATATTACATACTTAAAAAGCAAATCTAGTGAGAATATATATTATAAGATAGTTTGAGACGAGCTTTATTTAAATTACATTTCCCGTTTGAGATTGATATTCTGTTTACTAATTTAAGGAAATCTCATTCAAAGAAACGTGTAGTATATCTTATATTCCTTTGGAAAGATATTGCAGTCGGTCTATTTGCACTTTTTATATTGCACCATTTTTAAACAACGAATATTTGAATTGAAAAGTATTCCATGAAATACGTAGATTGTCGCCTTCCTAATTATTTTACTTTTTCAGGAATACAATTGAAAGAACTACCAATTACTCAATATGATACAGTAATGTTTCAAACGAAAACTATAAAAACTAGGCTTTTTAGCTGAACAAAAGAAAATTAACTGAATTTAACACACTTATACAGTGTGCTTTCCTTTAAATCATTGTTATTGTCTACCAAAGAATAATAAGTGGTAATTTCATGTGGTATAAAAGCAAGATAGTGTTAAGGACATAAATCAAATAATTCTTTATAAATGTCATTTAAGCTATTTGTTTTAGACTCAATAGATACTTAGACAAATTAAGAGGACTAGTGTCAACACTGAAAAAAGGAAAAGAAAATGCGCACACATTTTATATTTGAAGGTTATAAATAATGAATCAGTCAAAAACACCAATGTAAATTATTTATGCTAAATTCAACATGATAGTAACTAAGTGTTTGTGTCCATAAGTTATGTTTTATTATCTATGCCATAAGAATAACACTATATAGAATAACTTATACTTAGTATGTGATTATATCTCTCTCTATTTCTAACTACATACATCGTTGACTCTGTTCTTTGCCTATCGATATGCATGTTGTCATAATTATGGATAAACATATATAACCGTATTAGATATTTTTATTAGACTATCATCTTTTCAGTGAGCTTAGGATTTTTTCACGAAAGGAAAGCATAAGTGAAAATAGGGGTAGTTTTTGAGGGCAATTTAATATATTAATGGTATTATAGTGTCTTTTACACTTTTTTACAATTTAAAAAATGTCGATAATTTGGGCAGTCGAATAATCATTTAAAATATTTAAGGTGTAAAAGTTTTAAATTAATTTATCTCCCACTTTATATATTTAATGATAATTAATTAAATCCCAATTGATTTGGTAATCAATTATGTTTTTACAATTGGTCACATATGAATAATATTAAATAATAATTAAATTATAACGTTTCTATACATGCGAACAAACATTTAAAAAAAATTTAAATATCAATTTTACTATTTTTATAATCAAAAATTTTTTATGTTATTAATTTGTCATGATTTTTTATATTAGTATTTTTTTCGATCTATACATATTTTTCATGTTTTGAATTTTTATGAACACTACAGATTAAAATTTTTTAAGTATTTTAAAAAACAAATAATGACGAATGAGCACTCGAAAAATACGAATTAAAATGAAAATGGAATGGATTCACGTGCTTTAGTCATTTTATTTGATGATGCTAACAACACAGAGTAGTATTTTTTTTAACAAATTACTATTAGAATAAAATCAGGTA